AACAGGACGGGGAGATGCCTGTGATGAGCCCCAGGGCACAGATGGGGTTGCAGGGAGGGAGGCACAGCCATCCTGGAGGGAACAGGGCAACTGGGTCTCTGCCCTGGGATGATTATCCAACATCCAGGAATTGGTGGAGGAATTCCTTACCTTAAACACAAGACCTGAAGTTTACTAGAAGCCTCAGAGCCACACTATAAGATAAAAATTTTAGGTCCACCTCCTTTTGCTAATCTCTCCTTTCTATGTATATTTAGATCCTTGAGAAGTGAGCACTGCCCCCCCTCCTCCGCCCTGGGAGCCAGGGGTCATACCATGCTGCCTGTCCCCAGGGCTGGAGCTGTGATTGCTTTGGTTTGCTTCCTGGTCTGACTTGTCCAGGCTCAAAGCTGGACCCCAGAGGCTGGCTGGGTCCTCAAGATGTAAGGGTGAGGGGCTCAGCTTCCTTGACCACAACAGCTCCTCCCCTCTAGGACAGGCAGGGAGGCAGAGGGGGACCTCTCGAGAGGGGAGCGAGACCCTCCACCACCTAGTCATTGGCCGTACACGAGGCCCCACAGGTACCAGAGACCACGGCAGCAGTGCCTAGAAGTTATTCTGAGATGTCATGACATATAAAATGGAGGGCTGCCTGTCTAGCCCAGGGCTGTGCTTCGCTAAGTCTTTATTTTAGACGTCAGTGAAGTCCCCAGAACTGGAGCTGTGATTTCTTGGTGAGTTCCGAAACTACCTTAGCTTCTGGGAAACAGCAGATGGTCGGAGCATTCACAGCTGGGAGAATCCCATTTTTGCTCTGTTCCTCAGTTTCCTTCCTCTATGAAACAGGAATCGTGAAACTTATAAACATTTGGAGGAGCCGAGCTAAAGCTGCTCTGTAAATAAGGGCTGCAGGCACCCTCTCTTCCTCCCACCGCACAGGGACTCTGTGCCCCTGACGTTTGTTAACGTTGGCCTTGCTTCGGGTGGCAGAGCTGAGCCTGGGGCTTCGAATGAATCCCTGGCCGCCACGTTCAGATCAGGGGCACTTGGAGCTTAGGCAGAGGTGGTCCACCTGGGGCCCAGCTTAGCGGCCAGGCTTCACTCCTCTTAGAGGCAGACATAAAGAACCTGGAGATGTTCTCCAGGGAGGCAGCGAAAGTGGGCTACACGGCAAGTGGAACGGGAAGGGCCTTGGGCAGCCCCCCTACCCAAAGCCCCCAGGAGAAGGCACGGGATGGCTTTAGTCCTTGGCCTGTGGATCCTGGAATAAAGGCACTTGTGGGGAGAACCAGAGCCCATACCTGGATTCTGATAGAGGTAGTGGAAGAAGGAACACTTCAGACTAGAACCCCGTCTGTTGATAGCAGGCAGGTCTTATTTTTATTTGGTGATGTATGTATTATCTACTTTTCAAAGTACTGTTAAATACATTGCTTCATTCTGATCCTCAAAGTTCTGTGATTTGGTAGAGTAAGTATGAGCAACCCCAATGCCAAACAGGGTAACTAAAGCTCTGAGACATTAAGCTCAGGGTCCCCTGGCTAGACAGTGATGGAGCCAGGACCCAAATCAGGTGCTTTCTCCAAGGACAGCTGGAGAGGAAGGAGACTCCGCAAGGGGGAGTTCATGGCAGGCCTTTTCACCTTTAATAACCAAGGAAGTGAAGAGAGCTCTAGGGATCAACGTAGAGGCTCACGGAGCAGGTGGAGACAGAGGAGGCCAGGAGTAGAACGGAGGAAGTGAGGAGGGAAACAGGTGGAGGGTTGCATGGACACTTCCTGTTCACAAACTTCTTATGTTCCTCATTTCATTAACAGCAGCAGTGGAATTTCATGGACAATTGGCGTTGAGCACTAACTGGGAGGTAATGAGAGAGGGAGGATGCAGGTAAAGGCTGTTTGAATTTAAATTCTTTTTCTTTAGGGGGATGGGGGGGTGGGTTTTTTTAAAGGCAATTTTAGCGCTGCAGAAAGTTCCTAGCAAACAGCTTTGGACTTTTGTGTCCTCTGCCGGTAGCATTAGGAGTGCTGGTTCTCGCTCAGCCTACCGTGGTCTACACAGCAAGCTCCCGATGGCTACCCTGACAGAGGGCAGAGCGACGCCGAAGCACCGGGAGTCTGACCTCGGGTAGACTCTCCCCTCAGACCTGGGAAGACACACGACACCTGCGTCCAACAGCAGCAGTGAGTTGGGACGAGCGGTTCTACAACAGCAGCTGCAGGGGTGCGGCGAGCAAAACTCTGTGCGGACCTGGGCAGAGATGGCGGAGGAGCCAAAACAGAAAACAGGGGGACTCCACTAGGAGTATGTGGTCTGTGTGACAAGTGATGCACACACACACACACACACAGGAGGCCATAAAACGTTCAAAGAGGGAAGCGTATAGAATAAGGTAAAACTAAAGCTAGAGAGAGGGGACAGAGACATGGGATGATCGGGTGAAGAAGGTGGGGGAAGGCTGTTTTGAGCAGGGTCCTTAGACGGAGTGGCACACAGATTTGGTGACACAAAAGAATATGTGAGCTAGCTGTAGAGCCTGGGACGGAATGGCAAGCAGGTGAGCTGGCCTAGACGAAGCCTCCGTAAAAAGAAGCAATGGGAAATGAAGAAAGTCAAAATAAGAGGAAGGAAAATGTGTGGGAGACTTGAACTCTAATCTTTGAGTTCAGGTGACGGGGCCATGGGAACTGCCATAAGGTAAGCGAGTCAGTACAGGTTCGGCCCCTGGAGAGTAAGAGCCAGAAGCTGATGAGTTACCCGAGTGCCCGGGGATCAGGGCTCTTCTGTCTTAACAAGCGTCTGTGGGCATAGATGGGAAGCTATGGGGCCACTGGGACTGTGATGGTTAGTTTTGTGTGTGAACTTGGCTGGGCCACAGGACCCAGATATTTGGTCAAACATTATTCTAGATGCTTCTGTGAAGGTATTTTTTACACGAGATTAGCATTTAAATCAGTAGACTTCGGGAAAACAGATTCCCCTCCAGAATGTGGGTGGGCCTCATCTAATCAGTTGAAAGCCTCAAGAGTAAAACACTGGCTTCCTGGAAGAAGCAAGAATTCTGCCAGCAGACACCCCCACCTCTGCTTTGGATTCAAACTGTAACTATTCCCTGGGTCCCCGCCCACCTGCAGATTTTGGACTGGCCAAGCGTCCACAGTCATGCAAGTAGTCTGGGCTGAATTGTGTTACCCCCCCCAAATTCATGTTGAAATCCTAACCCCCAGTGCCCCAGAATGCGTATCCAGAGTAGGGCCTTTAAAGAGGTGATTCAGGTTAAATGAGGTTGTTAATGTGGGCCCTAATCCAATAGAGTTGGTGTCCATATAAGAGGAGGAATCGGACACAGATATGGACGTGCGCAGAGGGAAGGCCACGTGAGGATGCAGGGACCAGTCAGCCAGTTGTGGGCCAAGGACAGAGGCCTCAGAAGAAACCAACCCTGCTGACACCTTGATCTCAGACTTCCAGCCTCCAGAGCAGTGAGAAAAGACATTTCTGTTTAAGCCTCAGAGTCTGTGGTGTTTTGTTACAGCGGCCCTAGCTGACGAATACAAGGACAGTGGATTATAATCTCCTGGAACCCTAGGTTCATGCATGAAGCCTGGCCCCCAGCTCGGTGCCTTACACATGGTGTGTGCTGACCAAGTGTTGTGTTGACTGGGTCCGAGACGTTGGCTCCCGGCTTCCCTCCAGCAGTGATACAGTGCAGGGGAAGAGGCGCTCAAGGGAGACAGTGGGAACTAGAGCTTCAGGACACGGATGAGGTGTGAATCTTGCATTCTGCTCTGTACAAGGTTGACCTTGGGAATCAAGTCAAGGGAAGAAGGATCTGTGACGGACGTATTTTGTATTCTCTGGTGTGCCCAACATAACACCTGGAACTTAATTGACACTCAGTAAACATTCTGAATGGCTGACTGAATGACCAAGACAGACCTGGGGGGTGAAGTGATCTTTCATTTGAAAAAACAACCCTCCAAACACACATGTATGTGATGTACCTAGAAAGGCTCTGAAAGAGATTGCTAACGGTGCTCACTCTGGGGGAGTGACGTGGAATAAGAAGGCAGGCTTCCTTTTCACTGTATACCCTGAGATGTCCGGGCATTTTCATCATGAATGCCTAATCCTGGGTCATTCAGTACCTCCTCCGGTGTGAGTACCTGCACTGAAGGCCAAGAGGCAACAAGAGGTGAGAGGAGCTTTTTAACCCACGTGCCCCTTCCGCACGGCCCACAAAACCCTCCAGCCTGCCCCAAGTGCTGAGAGAGCAGCAGCCTCCGGGGCTCACGAGCTGCCCCACAGTGCCCAGAGGGAGCACAGGGTGACGGTGTAGAGGCCCAGCATGACGGCGTAGGCTTGAAAGAGCAGTCGGTCAAAACGTTCCAGGAGGGCCAGCCACTTAACCCCCTGCCGGTCCGCCTGCTCCCAGGTTTGGAAGTAGGTGCTGATGGACTTAAGCTGGAACCAGACTTCCTTCAGGCTCCCTGGCTGCACCTGGTGCTCTCGACAGATCAGGGGCTCTGCATGAGAGAGGAAAACATCCTGGGTGAGCTGGGGGCTCCCGAGGCCCCCTGGGCTTCCTACTGGAGGCGATGGCCTCATCCTACAACGAAGGTTTGTAGGCAGAACAGGGCAGGGGATTGGGTTGGGCTTGGGGGGAGGTAGGGCTGTGGTCAGGGGAGCTCTGCGGAATGTGGCAGAGCCGGGTCGTGCGGGAAGCCTGTCTAGGTTAGAGCCACCCAGATTTTCTGAGCTGGGGGCCGGCCCCACTAACTCCATCGGAGCTTTAGGGGCTGGGATGATTATTTTTGTTTAATTGTGATATGATTTACATATAACATTATATGTCTCATGTGTATAGCATGATATATATATATATATTATATATAATCTATCTATCTATCTATCTCACCAGAGTAAGTCTGGTTAACCTCCACCACCACACAGTTACACATTGTTTTCTTGTGATGAGAACTTTTAGGATATATTTCTTTAGCAACTTTCAAGTATACAGTAAAAATACAGAACGCTTCACAAATTTGCCTCTCATCCTTGAGCAGGGGCCACGCTAACCTCTGTATTGTTCCAATTTGGGTATATGAGCTGCCAAGGCGAGCACTGGGATAATTCATACACTTGCTCACATTAAGCAACAGGAACCCAAATACATACAAGCAAGTGTGCACACACACCAGCACTCTATTATTCCAGAGTCAGTCGCTTAGTCACTTCAGCTAACTGGCTAAAATTGGAAAATACAAACAAAAATAAGCAAAGTCAACTGAGGGCCTGACCTCTAAGCTAAAGTGAGGCTTTCTGGAAAGTCAGCAGGTCTCCAGATAGGTAATATCAAATGCAGCACAGAGGCTAAGAAGCAAGTGTTTCAAATTTTTCGCACAGCTGGACGCATGGCCTGGTGCTCCACCAATGGGAACCGGTGCGGAGAGTGATCAGGCAAGACAGGGTGCGGACCTCGAGGCTTCTCACAAACCTGGTACCCCAGCAAGCTGGGCTCTGGGATCCATTCTAGGCCCATCAGCATCAGTGTCCCCTCGAAGGCACAAGAGGGGCCACTCCTGCCCATGGCTCCACTCATCATGGAGGAATCTGACCAGCAGGATGGACTTAAATAAGCTGATAACCAGGAAGGCCATGCAGACCGTGAAGAAGACTCCTGAGGGAAGGAACCAGAGGAGGTGTACTTAGCCACAGTGTCTGGGGCCTCTCCCTCCCCTGATCTGAAATGCAACATCAGATCTGTGACAGGAGTCATGGAAGATGGGTGCCTGGTATCCCCAAGGCTGCTTACCAATCAGAGGGGTACTCAGTGCGCTCCTTGGCATCTCGTCGGACATGTTGACCCTGAAGACAGTGTAGCCCACCAGCACGCTGCTCTTGAACACAATCCTGATACGGCAGGTGGGTGGTAGGTAGAAGCTCCCCAGATCCACAAGCATTAGGAAGATGCTGGGAATCAGCAGGCTCACAACATAGACCAGCGGACGCCTGCGAATCACCACCTGCCCAGGGACAAGGCATCTACTGAAAAGAAGGTCTGTGCTGAAGGACTAGAACCCATAGCCAAGAACATTCCCTGACGTCCCAACATTTTTGCATAATGTGAAAAGACTATGTAGTTTAGAAAAAGGAGATTATTTTGTGGTTTAGAAAATAGAAAAAAAACCCTTTAAGCTTTTATGTGGAACTAAATTACTAATTATAATAAGAAGTGTCTATTTATTTGCTGCTTGCTGTATGCCAGGCACTAGCCTAAGTGTCCTCTGTGCCCTGTCCTGCTCAATCCTCGCACCCATTCAAAGGGCTGGTCATTATTATCTCCATTCTACAGACAAAGAAACTGAGGTTCACAGAGATTGAACTGCTTGTTCAAACTCACACAGCTGGGGGCGCCTGGGTGGCTCAGTCGTTAAGCGTCTGCCTTCGGCTCAGGTCATGATCCCAGGGTCCTGGGATGGAGTCCCATGTCCGGCTCCCTGCTCAGCGGGAAGCCGCTCCTCCCTCTCCCGCTCCCCCTGCTTGTGTTCCCTCTCTTGCTGTTTCTCTCTCTGTCAAATAAATAAATAAAATCTTAAAAAAAAAAAACCTCACCCAGCTGGCAAGTGAGAAACTGTGTTAAATCGAGGTCTTACACCAAAATCTTTCTTCTTACGTCACTTCTACAACATATTGTACTGTTTTCGGCATAGCCTGTCCTCTGTGGAACATGAGCGTCTCAGCACCTGTGTGTCCGTCAGAGTCTGGGCACGACCAAATGGCACCCTGGGACCTCTGAGGAGGGCTTGGCAAAGAGACGGCTGACAAGGTATGGGCAGGCAGAGGGCAGTGCCCAGGTATTTGGGATGGCTGGGTGAGCTGTCCCTACCCTGGGTCCTAAAGGGGCCTCGGGCTGGGAATGTGACTAGAATCCGAGGAGAGAAAGCTGGGTGGAGGTGGCCACCACACTGTGGCTTGCCCCTCCCTCTTCGGGGCACAGCCAGCCTGGTGGTGATTCCATAGGGAGAAAAATGGACAGATAAGCATCTGACTCACTCTTCCCCTCTCTCCAACCTCCTGCCATTCCGTCTCCTCTTCCCATCGGTCAGTGGGGCCATGGCTCATCTCCAGGAGCACAGAGCAGGTGGAGAAGTGGATCTAAGTGGGGGGACAGCCGAAGATGTCCAGCAGGATGGCCGGGCATACAGAGCTGCTGAATGGGTTTTGTAGCTGGGAATTGGAGACTAAAAAATTGCTGTTATTGCCATTTTTGTACACCTCTCTTGTCTGGGATGGTGATAGGAAGTGTCTTTAATAAACACAAACTATTTTCATCAGAATGACAGGATTGCTTCCCCACCCCCACCCCCCCGCCGACCCTTGGAGGGCAAAAGCAGCAACAATTAAACAATTCCTCATGGGGTGGGGGCGGGGGGCGCCTGGGAGCTCAGTTGGTTCAGCGTCTGCCTTTGGCTCAGGTCCTGATCCCGGGGTCCTGGGATCGAGCCCCACATTGGGCTCCCTGCTCCGCAGGAAGCCTACTTCTCCCTCTCCCACTCTCCCTGCTTGGGTTTCCTCTCTCGTTGTGTGTCTCTGTCAAATAAATAATTAAAATCTTTAAAGAAAAATTCCTCATGGGGCCAAAAATAATACCTACCTTATTCATGTTTATTGAATATATGAATGTCCTGAGCCCTTCACTGTTGGATCTGGACGTAAAATAATGTCTGAAGTCTCCCATTTCTCTGATCCACCAAACAACTGAATGCTTTCTATGTGTCAGATAACATGTGAGATGCTTTTACACATATGATGTGGTTTATTTAATTCTCACTGTGAGCTTGTTGGCAGGTAATAGAACACCCCCACTCTAGACTCTTAAAAACAAAGCTCGGCTCCTGAAGTAAGTTGAGTAAGTGGAAGAGCTGGGCTGTGCCCCACATCTGGTTCCAAGCCCAGTGTCCCTTCTGCCACAGCGTAGCTACAACTCTTGGTCTGAGCAGACATCCGAGCTGAGTTCAGGGTTCTTCTCCCTCATCTCTGTCTCCCACTCTGCAAGGCAAGCACACAGAAGGAGCCCAGGCAGAGGCCAGGGATGGAGGAGAAGGGGGTGGGGAAGAGCTTGGCTGGGTGAGACCAGACATCTACCACCCTGCAGAAGCAAACGGGGCCCCCAGCTGTTGGGACTGGGAGCATATCCCAACCCAGTGGAGCTTGGGAGGCCAGAGCCAATGGGAGGACTGTAGTCTGGCTATTATCTTTCACATTGAGCATAATTGGCTGCAAATATCTATAAACGAGGGCAACACTCATGCTTTGTAATAATTTGGTTAAAACACATTTCTACCACAGCATAGTCAACAAGGAAAGCAACAACCAAACAGACTGTCACCACTCTGGGCCTCGCAGGCTGTCTTGGTCATACTATGGAAGAGATGGCTGTGGTTAGCAGGGGATGGGAGGAAGGGAGCTGGATGGTTGGGGTCCACAGGGGTCTTGTGCGGTGCGCCCGGCCTGGGCTATGTGGAGTGGGGGTGGGGGGTGATCAGCCTGCTCTCTCTAGAAGGGAGAAGTGGGAAGACTCCCCTAGAGACTTCATGGCAGGTATGATGTGAAGAGGATGAAAAGCGTTAAGAACACCACCCTAAAGAAAGTCCAAGTAGGCAGGGTGGTTAAGCAGAAACAGCCCAGACTTAGAGTCAAGGGACTTGAGCTCCAGGGCCCCTCAATTCTAAGTGCCCATGTGTGCTAGTTTAAGTGATCCTGGCTGCATGCCTTGATTTTCCTTTTTTAAAAAAGCACTTTACTGGGGAGCCTGGATGGTGTAGTCAGTTGAGCGTCTAATCCTTGGTTTTGGCTCAGGTCTTGATCTCAGGGTCGTGGAATCAGGCCCCATGTTAAGCTCTATGCTGGGCGTGGGGTCTGCTGGGGATTCTCTCTCTTCCTCTCCCTCTGCCCCTCCACTCTCTCTCCCTCAAAATAAATAAATAAACCTTTTTAAAAGACTAATAAATAAATAAATAAATAAATAAATAAGCACCTTACTTTTGCTTGCTGAGCATCTTGGCTATGATTGAGATTGGCTGTCGTATCTAAATAACATTGCCGTGTCACTAGCAGATGCTTAGGTGGTTCCTCTCTACCCAGAGGCTGATGCAGAGAGTGAACATAACCCTGGGCCAGAACCAAAGATGGCTCCCCAGTTTCATCAGACCACGTGCCCCCCAAGGTGACGGGGGAGAGGTGTGACGAGCCAAGAGGCTGGGAGGCAGGCTGGCTTCGTGGGCATAAAGCTTGGGAAGTTACGCAGGGCCTGGCGTTTAGAAGGGCCTGGTGCTTGATTTCAGGCTCTGCTGGTGCCATTTGGAAACTTGTAATTTTTGAACAGGGAGCCCCACATTTCCCTTTGTCCCTGGCCTCACCAACCATGTAGCCAGTCCTGTCAGGAGGATCTTTGTCCCTGGATATCAACAGTAGCTGAAAGTAAAAGGGAAACATGTAGCTCCAAGGGTAGACAATTAGCTCTGCTGTCACATAAAGCAGAAATCTCCCCTGCCTATGTTTGGCTTATACAATTATACAGTCAGATAGGCCCTCTCTTTGGTTTTCTTCAAGAAAAAAGGACCTCCCTTTTTATTTAGGAGCAATATTGATTTTGGAGCAGTATTACTTATGGACTAGACTAATTTTCTCCACAAGCCCAGCGCAGCCTAAAGAAATTCAACATTTTATCACATAGCTTTCAGAAATGGTTTGTTTTCGTATCTCGTTTGATCCTCAAATCCCTTTATTCTCTTGTTTAAGGAACATTAATTGAGCATGAACAGAACGTCAGGCACTTTTTAAAATAATGGAATTAGAACAGTTAATAGGATAGGTTTCTGCCCCTCTTCATCCCATGAAATCAGCAACTGGACTCTGGTAGTTGGATGTTTTAGAGTCTGCATGTAGAAAGGAAGTTTGCTCCAGAATGGACCATACCCAGAGTCTGTACCTGATTTAGATGATGAGACTTGGGACCTTCTGAGTTTATATTTAGATTATATTTTGGTCTCAGAGTTGGTGCTGAAATGGGTTAAGACATTTAGGGATGTTGGGATAGGGTGAATGCATTTTGCACATGTG